TTAGAAATTGTACTAAGAACAATAAAACGTCTCCGCAGTATCCGTAGCATTCTGATTAAGACTATGCGTTATTCTTAGCATGCGTCTTGCATTTTGCAAGATCAGCCGCAACTTCCGTATGCAANTTTATATAAAACGTNTCGCGACTTCTAGCGTTGTTGACGCTTCCGCTGCAATCTGGCGCGCGGGTTGCGGTTTTTCTTGTACTAAATATACACACAATGTCATGCGTGTAACAACCTTTTTTCCTTAAAAATACTAAATACATTGTTATTGTTATTTCTTTTTTTGTAAAAATATTGCGATTGTCGCGCCCTCTCTTCTTCTTTGATCACCACCGCGCAATATTTAATTGTTATTTAGTATCAGTCTGCGCGCGCGCAGACGATGACGTCGCTCTCGTTTCTCGCGCTCCTCGTCGCTTCGACGACGGCAACGTCGATCGCGTCGACGAGGTCAATGACGAATACGACGACAAAGANAAGCGTTGTCGATGAAAGAGAGACCGCTATTGCGTTCCTACGCAAGTACGGTTACCTAGAGGACAACGTGGATAACTCGTTGATATCCGAGAGCGCGTTGAATCACGCTGTCTCGCTTTTTNAANAATTCTATAATTTACCCATAGACGGTGAATTAAACACGGAAACGCTGCGCGCAATGAAAAAACCGCGTTGCGGAGTTCGAGACATCAAGACGCGTCACTCGAATAAGGAGCATATATACAAGTGGTCGANAAATCATCTCACATGGAACTTTCTGTTCGCCTCTAGAGCGAATTTACAAGTAACGGAGGCAGCGTTCGCGCTGTGGGCAGCGAATTTCTCGCTGACGTGTACACGCAGCATGCACAATCTTAACATAGTGATTTTGTATAAAGGTGGACGGCACATTATGTGGGACAAGCATTACTCAGATACTTTGTGTCCGTATGACTTTNATGGTTAAGGTGGAGTACTCGCTCACGCGTATTATCCCAACGGAAATGTCGAACATGTATCTGAGGTTGTGACCGGGGTTAGTCAACAAATNGCCGGTACTTACAGGTCTGCGTCTCCCTTTCCGGTCGCCAAGTGTTTTTTGCTCGACGGCCCCTCCAAACACCAAGGTTTTGTTTCTCGGGATATCCTTTTGGGACAAAGGAATGTGATGGACATAACACAAAGAATCACGACACTTTGCCTTTTATGTGT